CATGCAGTGAATGCACGTACCCAGGATCATCATGGGTAATCATGACAAAGTGCATGAGATAACTTAATAATGCCACCACTAAAGCTGTTAGTGTTGCGAATGTATTCTGAGTAATTATAATGTCGTGTCTGGATTTTGAGTAATGTCGTGTCTCGATTCTGAGTAATGTCGTGTCTGGATTCTGAGTAATGTCGTGTCTGAAGGATGTGCTAGCTCATTAGACGCACACACAGGCGCCACTTACGCCAACATTTTTGTCGTTATTATTCAACATAATATGTATTTTGTACATGGTAGATGGAACACAGTTAATGCTAATAAATGAAATACTTATGTTGATGGATTAATCATATTTGCTTGGAAACGACCAACACGCTTTTCTCGATAGGCTTAAGGACAAGGTTTGGAAAGGTTACAAGGATCTGAATGATTTTAGGAAATAGGAGGAACTTTTAGTTGCAAATAGTTGTGAAAAATGTGAGATATATTTATGTCAATATCTGTCTTTGTTCAATGTTAGCATTTATACGTTTTAGATTTTTGATAAACTAATAGGTGAGGCTTAAAGGTGTCAGAAATATGGACCTTGAAATTTGAAACCAGATATGTACAAATGTTTGTTACAAAATACAGAGCTGTGAGACAGTCGTTTCGCACTGTTCAAAGCGTGGGTGGCAATACACTTTGTCAAATAGTAGGCAAAGAGAGTAAATTTTAAGTGAGTGAGTGAGTTTAGTTTTACGCCGCACTCAGCAATATTCCAGCTATATGGCAACGGTCTGTAAATAATCGAGTCTGGACCAGACAATCCAGTGATCAACAGCATGAGCATCGATCTGCGCAATTGGGAACCGATGACATGTGTCAACCAAGCCAGCAAGACTGACCACCCGATCCTGTTGCCTCTTACGACAAGCATGGATTACTGAAGGTTCATTCTAACCCCAATCTTCACGGGTGAATTTTTAAGGGAGACCGGGAGAAATGGGATGTCATTAGTGTGATTTTCGTGCCAGAACCTGCCTCCTGTTGTTCACGGTGCACACATAATACTGCTTTTCAAACTGGCTGTGCTAAACACTTATAAATAATGAAGTAACAACAAATGTTTGACGATATACAGCGGTTTCTATCAATGCTTCATCAAAGCATCAATGTTCATGCCGCAGCAATCACATGTTTTGAATACACCAAAGAATCTACTTCGGTCATAGCAAACTGGATATATTCTCTCTGTGTTTTCATGTTTATGGTTCCACATTCAATTTTACACATCCTCCACTTGACAGGAAACTCTCTCCACGCATTGTGCTTCAAACCGCAGGGCGGAATGGTCGGGTTGCCATATTGTTTTAGGGAAGAGCTCCAATCTCATTAAAACCATATCGTTTACACTGGTATACTTCTCTGCTGTAAAATCTGGAAACACCTCTACAAGTCAGGTGGATCCTGAAGGTTTGACCTCAAACAAAATGAAGAATGAGTGGGTTCAAGTGTTGGTTCGCATTCAAAACGATCAGGGTTTTGTCACGGCTGTCTTCTGAAATTAAAATCCGCAGCTAAAAAACCCAAGCAAAACAGAAGAACAGAGTGTTGACAATATAACATTTTGAGTGTGGATGCCATAGTTGTCAAGTACGACATAATCTCTACCACATGTAAGTGCGGTTTTCTTTTTTCCTCTTCTTCTGAAAACGGATATAAGAATTTATAAGCCCCGAAGCTGTTTGCTTAATTATAAAGACCACCTTACACGACATCCTACGCATAAACCCTCAGATCTCCACACACAGAGGTATCGCGAGGGAGTAAAACATCACGTACAAGTAATGAAATTTGGTCGAATGTTGTACTAGGTCGAATATTTAGTTGTTGGCCAATAACAGACCGTCCTATTGCTCTGTAGGCATTCCTGGAAGAAATTCCATTATCACCTTAACCTTGACAGGTATCAGGTGATACTCGATCAAAATGCCCCAGGCACATGGTATCTAGTTCTGCTTGGTCCAGAAAGTGTCTTGCAGCAATGTATGACTGTGGATATATCCCAGATTCACCACTTCCAGCCGGAACCAACACAAGAATAATAAAGACAGGGAGCATTGGGCACCACCACCGCCATCAAGGCAAAGGCTGCTTGATAATTTGTTGCTATGGTCTATTTTAAGGCAATTCCAAAATAAAATTTGAAACATAGTCACTTGAAAAACTAACAGTGGGTAGTGGGGATTACGTCAAGCATCTTAATGTTATAAGGTCAGGGGTTATGTGAACAGAACATAACAATCAATCCACAGACCAACATTGCCGTGTTTCAGTAGTGAATCTGAGGACGTCAATTCTGAATTTTAGAATTTGCACAACACCTTTGACACTCACTTTCACTAGTACTTGTAAGTACTAGGTGTGAGTATAGATGGTGTGAGTACACGCTTATTGTAGTACTGATGTCATGGGAACCAGATTTCCTGGATTGCATTATTCATGTTGGTAACGGCTAATATATCCTGCAAGTGTTGAAGTCCCCTATACTTCACTATACGCTATGAAAGCAGATCGGCGGATACATTGATCTTTAGAGCACTAGCCGTCAAGGGTTAGGCAGTTAATACTGATGACACATACATTACAGCAGTCCTCTGGTATTTGGAAAGGCAATCTATTCATTCTCTTGACAGATATATTTAGATTTGCACCAATACTGTATTACTTCATCAAGAATATGGAAACGCTACAGCATATTAAAGTGAATACAAAATCCATATATGTTCCTATAGATACACTGTCCAAACAGCTACAGACACGCACATCATCTATTCATATATATTGTTAGAGATGGCACTTTTACTTGACATGTTTACGACATGCGGTATGTATGGGAGGTGATGACCCCGATGGTATATAATGGCGTCTGCCACCTTATTCGTCGAGGAAAGCCGGAGCTCGGGGAGACATCCAGATTTCTAGAAGGCCGCCTATGAAATCAAATCCATGCTATAAGCGTCTTGTCTTAATAACTCACACTTAGAACACTTTGTCTATTTCTGGAACTTGGTTACATATTGATGAGTTTAAAGACAATACCAATACTTAATACAAATTTGGGGGAAGAGTTTAGACGTTGAATTGTGTTCGTCAAAGTAGATGTAAGCTAAACATGAATTATGTTTTCTTACATCGACATAAAAGAGCCCACAAACATGGTTATGTACGTCACTAGGTTCATAACTTGTTGCCACATTTGTTTATAACCAGATCGATATGATTGTTGCACTGCACGGGTCTCTGTGAATGGTCGCAAATGATGGGGAGTTTGTAATAAACTGAGACCTCAATAAGAACTCACGGCCAGTAGTAAGACATTACAGAACTCCTTGCCTTTATTCCAAGCGATGGAGGGGAATGTGTGAGATCCGTATACACTCAAAGTTAATTGCTTGTTAATGATTAAAACCCTTTTCTTCTGACTTTTGCCGCCTTATTTAGTGGCATTTATCATATTTATAGCCCTTGGATTGCCATACAACAAACAAACACAGATGTCTAACATACACGAGGGATCTTTCATCATTTCACAACAGAAAACCAATTTGATTATCTATTTATTGATTGCACCTTCGTGTGGCAAGGGTAGATGTGGGATTGAGAAAAAGGGCAAGTTTGTCCGATTGGTAAAAAGTGAGCAAAAATTCAAGCATTAAGTTCTTTAAGAGCAATCACAATGGAAAAATACAATTTTAGGAGACTGCAACAGATCGTAATTTTTGTTTATGCATATATCGTATTCAAAGCATCGAAAGCATCCCGGAAAGAAAGGTTAATTGACATTGTGATACCATCAGTTTTACAGACTGACACGCAATAAAGTGGAGACGGAGACCATATAGAGGCTCACTGTGTAGTCTCGGGTGGAAGCATTAAACGCATGATGGCACACATCCGCCCACTGTTCGCAGTCATATTTAACTGCACACTCAACACCTTTAGCTTTGGTCGTTTCGGGTATACCTTTAACAGTACATTAAAAATCATATACAAAAATTAAAACATGTGTCGCCGCTCCGTGACAGTTAAGTTTCGGGCCGATTAAATGTGTTACTGCACTTTCACTTGGACATTTAAATGTTTCGACGAATGTTATTTTACGGTAGCCTTTACATGCACATGTGAAGGCAAGTCAGTGTACTCCCCTGAAGGAGGCCACTAGATTGTATTGTACATGGTAAAACAGAATATCACATCGCAATAGCAGAATTAAGGATAGTCAGCACTTATTATAGCGAAAAGCAAATTTAGTTTGTTTACATATATTACAGTTAACTGTATCGTTTCACATTAGGTTGAATAGAACAGTGAATACAGTAATGTTTCACACAAAAGATCAAGCAGTATAGAATGCATAATACTGCTCTACACAATGTTGAAGTCTTCTTAATCCAAATATCACCTAAATGTCCTTGGGGTACATATTCCCGTCGTCCAGAAAAGTAACTGACAAACAATCTCGTCAGGAAAACAAAATTTAACTTGACAAAACATAACCATTCTTCCTGTTTTACCCTTTCAACACATTGTTATACTCACAAAGGCCTTCTTCGGTGTTTGGTCTAACGAGTGTGAAGATCAGCTGTGGTTACATCGACAGAATAGAATCAGGAACCAAAATGCCTGTTTGAACATGTACACAAATGGTGTGATTGTTTGGTCCGTTTCTGTATTTAGGGAAGTATCCATCTTTACCAAATTGTATCTTCAAAGTAAACAGGATAAATGACCACATGATGTGACGCAAATGACACATCATTTTTGTTAATGAGGCGTTAGATTATCATTTGTCTTTGACATGTCGACTTTTTGAATGTTTCACAAATTCCTTGAATTTTGCATCAACGTTTGAAATCTTCATAAAAATATCAAACGCGATGGTAGCTCAAAGGCAGGATGAATGTAAACTTCAAACACAGGTTCTACTTGAATATTGCACAATATAAAGGTAGAACAGAAGTCTTACTATTTGTACGGTCCTGTAGAGTGGTTTTAGCTGAATCTTAATGAATATACCTTAATATACATAAGATGAGTCAGTTGTATTCAGTTTAATTTATAGTTCATGTGGGTAAATCGGCGGGGAATTGGCTCTTTGGTCGTTATCAAAAAATATAAAACCATCTATATATCCTAAATTATCTTTCCAAGTCGAGAAAACATTCTTGCTTCATCCGTGAATGTCCAAAACCAAATTTTGGTCCAGAATATCGCATAGTTTTTTTTAGCAACCTTCAGACAGACAAACCATATATATGTATGATTGCCAATTATTGCATTTAATTTTATATGCCAATAATAAACACGACACTCTTCATTACGACCAGACAGAGATCGTTATATTACAGATTAAACCCGTTTGTATTACATCAGGGGAATCTTATTAGTTCTGTAAAATATTGTTGGCAATGTATCGCATTCAATGTGATATGAGTCATATATTCTAAATGTTTGATATTTTCATATATATGATATAGTTTCTTCACAGGATTCAATAATCAATACTCAAGGATATTGATCAGAAGCGGCTTCCTTTCGTTTACTTTCATCGTTCAACCCCCGCCATTTGTTAACATAAGAAATCTGCTCATACTTGATGCCATGCTAAAGCGACACCCGCGAACACGGACTTGTGTGAAGAAAGAGTGTTTCTGAAAAAGCTGTGTCCCAACCAACCACTCTATCTAATGCTCAGTGTAATTCCAGTAGAAGGATTGGTAGAAACCCTTCTGGGTCTTTCGAGACAAATATTGAACGTTGATTCTACTGAATGTGGGCTACACGCTGCCTACACGCGGGATATATGTTGCTGACGAGTCTGTTAGTACAAACATCTTGGGACTTGATCGCCTTTCCCTAAGTACGCCACGAAGAAAGTATACACTCGAATAGACAAATTGTCCCTGCAGACAGGGGCCAAATAATAACTGGACAATGTGAATGGCATTGCAGGGAATCAGTTAAACGAACTAAAGCTGTTACACTTTAAGATAAATGTGATGTTTTATTGGTCGTGCCAATGTGTTCAGATGATCTAAACGCAACCGCGGTCCTACCCAGCAACAAAATATATAAATCCCTGGAAACTGTACATTTTGTTCGGATGAAACATAAAGATTTCGAAAAAAACCCAGTACGTTTTACCAAAATGTGATGTTTTATAGGTCGAGTGCTGTGTAACAAATACGGTCACGTATCATGAAAAACGTGCAGGCATTCCTCCATTCTTGTGTAGTCTGTATGATTTCATTCAAAACATTGAAATTGACATCAGAAGTTTCTCAAACTATGCCAAACCCACACAACATTCAGTTGAGACAGTTTGGTAAAACGTACCGTTTTTGTTTCGAAATCTTTATGTTTCATCCGAACAAAATGTACAGTTTCCAGGGTTATTTATATTTTGTTAGTGGGTAGAACCCCGGTTGAGTTAGATCATCTGAACACATGGGCACGTGTTGTAAGATGTTTGTTGCCTCTCGAGTCGTGATAATCACAGTGGTGCTAATGGACAAAAGACAAATTAAGACCATTCGTGAACAGTGTTACCAAGCGCCAATATTTAGATGTAATTAAATTCAGTTATAGGGGAAAGTACACGTTTAATCATTGCCTAGAACAACAAACCATACAAGGCAATTACTCTTAATGATGTTAAATCAACAGAACTAATCTGTTGCGAGTTGTTAAAACTTGGACGAGGTCTACCGGTGCACTTACAAGTTCCCGACATATAACAAGCCTATAATCAATGGTTATTGCTCCCTTTTAGTATTACATGTCATGTTGACAGCGGAGGAAGTCCGTCTGACCTTGTGGCCTATGTTCTTTACCAGTAATAACTCCATAGTTGAGGCAGCGGAAAAGCACGACGTATGTGAATAGCGCCTACATATATAATACAGGGATGTGTGCTGGATTGTCCTATGCTCTCGCAGGTTCCTCTTTGACTCTACACAGCTCACAACACAAGCAATAATAATGTATTCGGTATTTTGAACGTGATTATAAAGAACTAAACGGCGTCACGTTTTTGTGAACGATGATCAACTTTGCCAATAAACAAACCTATATCTAATATTGGAACATTAAAAACGACACGTAGGAGAGTGAAAGTAATTACCCAATGACCAAGGAAGAAGACATGTCGGGCTGATTATGTCTGGAAAACATTTCTCCAATCTGTTGTCATGGGGATATCTCTTGGAATGACATTTTATACTGAAACTAAAACAATATATAATTGAAATATTTCTTGCATCCCCCTTGGCGAGTCACATTTTGCAACATGCCTGAGAAAATAATGTAAGTATACCATTTCACTTTTCATCCCCTAGTTCTACTGTTTTAATGTGACGCAATATAGTCAGTTCGTATCAACACATTGGTAGCTACTTATATTTAGATATGCTTGCAGATTTCAAGTCTGCTATAGTTAATGGTCAATGCTGATATTATGGGCTTCAAATTTATTCATGATATTCAGACATAATCCTGTTACGATAATTTAGTATGTTTAGATATACGCATGTCTATAAAGCTTATGTTTTGCTCTTTGTTGGCGCATGTCCTCAATCGCGGTTCATCGAGTAGTTTCTCAGTGACACATCTGTACTTGAGAACTCCTGCGATAATACTGGTATGAAAGTTAATCTATATACATACAAATTAGTAGTATTCAGCAATGTTAAACCACCAAGAATATGTGAATCAATGTGATATGTCAAAGGTAAAAGGGATATCGATGTCATGTACTTAATGTATTTGGAGTAGTATTTGCACCTAAACGTAGAATGGAGCAAGAATGTGAATCATCTCAAGTCAAGAATTCTATCACAGCAATTATCAACATCAACACATATTTGATTCCTTAAACACCTGTGACATCTTCATGTTTCGTGATGACATGACATGAAATATGTAGTTCTGAATAATTGTGGGGGCATCACCCTGCAAATTCCTGAACCCGCAAATCGCATTATTTGTTTAAAGATTCAGGAAATTCCTGAACTCTCTAAAAAGTAGTAGCCTATTGGATTCACCTTCTACGTCTGTATTGGTACTATTCCCGCAATAGGCGTGGTTCTTTAATCTATTTAAGTACAAATTGAATCATTGGTATTAGATTTTATTTTGTGTGCAGTTCATGCATGGACACTGGATAATGTACATGTTTCCAACAGAAACAAAGAATGAAATGTTCGGCAAACAAACAATTTCGTCTCTCCTTAATGTTGTGTGGCAGACACCAGTTCTGAATAGTTTGTTGTGAATAGTTTTATTTAATTCAGGTGTTTTTATGTTCTAGTATTTTAAAGTTGTTAGGACAGTAGTTTTCAACTTCTCCTTACTATGCTTTTGGAGCAGTCTATAAAGGTAAAGGGGTTTTAGCTTAGTCCATGTTTAAGTCATTGTCTCCTCTTAGTTCTACCCAAGCCTTGTTTTCATTGGTCGGTTCAATGCCTGTGCATTTTTTCATCCATCTTGCACTTGACAAGACACTGATTTACAGACTGGTCTGATCTTTGACAAATAGGAACAGAGCATTTTCATTGTTTAAGGTTAGTAATATATATTATTGCTAGCTATTATATATGCATATAATATAGGTAGTCTAAGCTATGTTTATCATATTTCAACACCTTTTATATATAATATAATTTATCTTTGGTGTGGTGATCATTTCACCATACTCATTAAATCAGTAGGGCTAAATATTCTGACATGTTCTAATCTTTCTGTGTGAATGTTTAGTGAGTAAATGCCTTATCTTAATGAATGTGTTATGATAATTATTTGCAATGTGAAACACTTCACTCAGTGTTCAGCCATTTCATGTGTGTTACGTCTCCAGAGTGATACTTTTTATGCATTGGGTTTCATGGTATATCTGGTAGCTATATATTTGCATTCATGTGTTCCTTTATAGGTTACTACTGTCACTGTACCATTGAGGCGGCTGCCCAGGAGAATTAACACCCCAGTGTCACCCACAGGGTACGGATAATTTGCATATTAATTATTATTCTCTGTATATATTGTAAATAATATTTTATGACGGATATGTATCACTGATTGCCATCTGTATCATTGTTATCACAAAGTGGTAATTAATTATTGTATTGAGAACATGTAATGTAATTTATAACAATGATCCATGTTCATTGTATACCTCATGTATAGTACACATACATTGAGCTATCGCCCTTGATGAATTCTTTATGTAATCAAGACAATGATGTTATGCCTCATTAACAAAGATATTTATATGCGAATGTAAATGTGTACTTGTAAGTTACTTGTATGTGAAAGATGTTTTGATGATATTACCTTATGTTATTGTTTTGTGTATTGCAGGGTGTCGTTACCTCTCTTTCTGCCAATGCAAATAAAACCTCACACCCGTAGCCTGTGTTTGGACATCGTCATTCATATCCATCAAAATCCGGTTACAGTTGTTCACAACCCTTTGCCGTCTCAGTAACATATCTTTGTTCATGAAACTTATTTTCTGACTTTCACTTGATGCATGAAAAAAGTCCACGCCTCGAGAGAGTGGATTTTGTTTTTAGAAATGTACCAGAACGTTTCTCAGCTCCACGTGTTTTCATCTTGTAAGCGGTTATTGATGCGAGACCAAAACATCTCAAACACATCTGTCATATGCAATGGAAAATCTTATGCAAAACACCAACACTGTAGAGACAGGTCCAGAAGGGGAGGGGTACCCCCGACTTGAATTATATTTTATTCACAAACATGTTAAATGTGGAAATGTAAAAATGGAAATGTGGACCCGAGACCTTATCCTGAAATAGCATTTGTCATTTCAAGTTGAAGATAAACACAAACACTGATATGATTTACTGTATTGGAGACGAAACAGAATGCAACTAATGGTTAGCGGGTTCAGTTACTTGCATGTTAAATATACGTTTGTCATAGGAACTCAACTTCACACCGAACA